CCGATGCACTGCCGTCCGGAGAGTGACTGCGTTTTGTTCCCTGATTTTCAATCAAGATGTCTCGAAGGTCTTCTACCTGAGTTTCAACCGGCCTAATTAGAAAGGTTGGTGGGTTCTTGACATGCTGTCGGACTCGAACAGGACCATATCCTGAACTTTGCCAATATGGCTCGGCGACCGGTCGACTGTATGGTTCTCCTACGTCATGTCTTGATGATTCTGCTGGCTTTGATGGTTCGGATGTCTCACTCTCACGAACTTGTTCTGGCTCTTGATCGACGGAGTCAGCTCTCGGCACGCCAGTCTCAGCAGGAACCTGAACTGGGATTGCTCTTCTGGGTCTCAATCGAAATTGGCTTTCACCTTTCCATGGTTCACTACCCCAAACCGCTTCTTTGGATTGTTGATCTGACAAGGGTTGATGTACAATGCACTCCTTCGTGTCGGAACGAATTGTCTTTCTCCAGTTGTCGAACCACATCCCTTCTATTGCGGGGTCGTCAGCAGCGGGCCAAAACAACTTGGTTCGAGGTTGGCGGTGGATTCGACACATGTAATCCCCTTTCTTCAACCAGAAATCTTCTGCCTCAGACATTGGAGTACGGGCTTGTTCAGGAGTGGGCGTGTCAGTCAGGTCGGTGAACTGAGACCCAATTGCCTTCCGATCAGGATCATTGAGCAATGACGACAAACCGAGCATTTCTCGACCGTCGGCCTGAGCAAGAATACGTTCGTCTTCACTGGCATGTCTCAAATGTTCCGGGGCAACCTTGAAGATATTTCTCCGGTGAAAGATCAAGAAGTTGCGACCTATTTTTCCCATCACGATGGCAACCCCGTACCAGCGACCTCCTACTAACCGGATCCCCTTCTGGTACTTCTGTGTCCTCCAGTAAGCAACAAAATCGCCGGGAAGGAAAATCTCGTTCAGCCCTGGGTCGAGCGTTCAATGCATTTCTGAGACATGCATCGTCTTGAGACAGCACCAATGCAGTACGAGCTTGTGCACGAATTGCTCTGGCTCGCTCAGCACCTTCATCGTGCAAGGGTGTCGTTGCTGCAACTGGGCATGGCCACTCTTGAAGCAAATCTCCTGCTATTCGAGGATTCCTACCAAACACGAGCTGGCATGGTGACAGACCCTTCTGATTTAGCATTTCATTCTTTGCATTGCAGGTTTGAATAACACACTGCTCGTACTCTGCTCGATCTTTAGGCTGTACTTGGTCAAGAACTTTTTGCAAGATCACTTCAAACAGGTGTCCATGCTTCTCTACTTTGCCCAATTGGTTATGGGCTTCTGCTGCAATTGTCGAGACTCTAGTGCCATCTTGTTCAAGGCGATCGAACACCTCTCCTGCCGTGTTTGTCTTAGCAGGATCAACTATCACCTCCAATGGTGCTCCAGCCCAACGTTGCCAAGTGTCAAGAAACAACTTCTTTAACAATTCTGAGGTCTCTTGTTCAAACAACGGAACAACTACCTGAAAGCTCGTGGCATAGTCAACAATGTTCATGCATTTGACCTGCTGGTTCACTTTCCAGCCTGGCAACAGTTTGGTGTCCCAGCCTATCTTGTGATTGAAATCACTGACATGTTCTGGACTTGCTGGAAGGCATGGTGTTGGTCGCTGTCTTTGTTGGCAAATCTCGCACTGACTTTCCATGGTTTCCGCTGCCTTGATTGCAAGTTCGTTCGCCCCTGCATTCTTCAAAATTCTAAGAAGAGAACGAGTGGAGGGATGACCTAGGTTATTATGCAACTTCTTCACCAACTGCTCAACCTGTTTGGCATCGGAAACCGCACAAACCTCATGAACGGTGAATTTGATCCCCTCACAGTCACTTGCTGGGTCCTGCACACATGAAAAATGGCACAGGTGAGGGCGAATGCATTGCAACCAGGTTTGAACAAACGTTGGAGTGTACTCTGCAGCCCTAGCACTACGGTTGACCCCATCTGAAGTATGTCCCGCTAACAACTGATGACTGACGTGTCCTGGGCACTCTAAGGCGAACTGAGCCATGTCGCCGTGTGACACCGCCAGACCCGTAGGCTTCAAAATAGGTTGTCCGTTCTCTGCATCCTGGAGTTGATATGCACACATGTTTGTCTTATGCAAAGTCAACTGTCCGCTGTTGAGCAGCTTCTGTATTGGAGGATACTTCCACAAATCGCTCGACCATGGATGTTCCAACAAAACACGACCACCTCGCTTCAGCTGTTTGCGAATCTGCTGGGCACAAAAATCGGCTTGTGCTCTTGCCTGTCTCTGATTCTGCAGCTGTTGGATAACAGGCAGTTTGTGTTTGTTGAGTCGATACCAGCCACCCCAGTGCCTGCACTCTGGGCTGCACACCAGGAGTTCCGGCCTCGTCTCATCCAGTTGTAGGTCAACGGTCTTCTGTGTCTTGCTGTCTGTGAGATCCCAGCCCTGCTTGATATCAAAAGCCAGGCCATGTTCCCCCTTCTTCTCCAACATTGCTGTGAAACGCGGAGGTGAAAACAACTCGGCCACAGCAACGGTACTCTGCTCTTTGTTCCAAGCCTCCTGGTGTGCCAGAAGACAGCGTTCTTCCCGCTTTGTGAGCAGCCGTTCATGTCCTTCCAGACACTCAGATGTCCGGTCTTCTTTTTCTGGGTCTTCAGGAGGCTGTTCCTCACAGAGTAGGGCTTCTGCGCCATCCATGACATTGAGAATGTACTGGCCAGCGGAATTCTTCTGCAGAGGTTGTGCTGCTGAGCCATCAATTGAGATTGTCTCTGCCTGAAAGTCCAGCACTGCACGCAAACTCTTCATCGTGTTGCGACTCAGGAGCAATGGAGCCTCACCCTTAATGATACAACAGTCAATGCGACCGGCTCGTCCATGGATTGAGACAGGCATGGAAACAATGCGCTCTGAAAGCTCCTCCTGTCCATTCCCGAACCGGAACAGATTCTGTTGTGCCCTGGTGATGGGCGCTTGGCGATTCTGCTCATGATACAGCCGCAGAAACTGATTCAACGTTTCCTGACCAATCAATGTACGACTGCATCCAGAGTCAATGATGCCATAGCCAGGAGATGAGACCAGGAAGGCCTCTTCGACCATTGCAGCACCGTTCACTTTCTCACGCTCCGATCTGTAGCTGCTGGCTGAACTGGCTGTTCGTTGGGGGCAATTCCTTGCCCAGTGACCGATTTGGCCACAAGCCCTGCACCGTGACTTCTTTTGAAGGTCGGTGATCTCTTTGGAAAACTGCTTCTTTGCGGAGTTGGCTTGACCAAAACGTCTTGACTTCTGCAGCTTTGCGATTTCCGACCTTCTCTCCCGCCACGTAGCGGCCAGCACCTCTGCGATCTCTTCCTCATCGAAGATCTCTTGAGTGGCATTGGGCTCTTGTACGCCGTATTCGGCTAGGAAGGCTTCAATGTCGTCGAAGGACACTGCATCTTGTCCCTCGTCGGTCGACAACTGGCTTGTCTCTGCCTCCAACTCTTCGACCTCGGGCTGCTGCACCAACAATGCTGAGGATGTTCGAGCTTTGCGACTTGCTTTGAACTCAGGAAAACAGCTCCTCATGGCTGCTGCCACCGTCTCGAACTTCATCTCGCCATTTGTCTTGGCAGTCACTATAGCCCTCTGGTCGGAGGAAAGACCTGAGGAGTTCAAGCAGATCCATCCTCTGGCCTCAGTTGGAAAGTCTACGGAGACCTTGCGTCGGCACTTTGCAAAGGTCTCCTGAACCCTTGACGTCCAAGCAGCGACAGTTTCACCGTCTCGTGCAGACAACTCGAACACCTCTTTCAAGCACTCTGCCATCCAGTCGTGGGATAGGCGATCCGGGAATCGCTCTTCCAACGCAGCCCAAATGTGTCGATCGCCGTTCTCTTCCTTCAGCTTCTCGAGCGTCAGGTGCTCCACTGCCTCTAGGGCAATGCCGTCCAGCAAACAAAACACAAAAGGGCCTCTGTGACTCGCAGACATGTCCTTGGTCGAGGCCATACGAGCTTCTGCCCATAGTCGCCATCGTCTGAATTCACGAGGATCCAGACTATCGCCGCTAAACCGTCTGTGGTTTCCACCCTGGTTCTCGCTAGCCATGGCGTTGTGACACTGCTTTCGTGATCCAATCCGTCCTCGGATTGCACACACAAAAAGAAAATCTACCCGGACGCCCCCCGTCAGCGGGGGGCTCCGCTACCAATGTTCAAACTCGACCAGTTAGGTCTCTACGGGGCCACCCCGACCCCAAACCATGCGGCCGCCTCCTTTTCCGGCCAACCTGAGCCTCGTGAGGGTGCCTGCGGACGTCCAACCTGTACTGCCGATCCGAATGGTGACACTGCTTTCAAACGAGTATCTGAGGAGAAGGCAAGAAGAAAAACAGCCCATACCAACCTGTAAAGGAACATTAAATGAGATTATGATTCTACTCTGAAACTCGATAGATCTACTCTGAGAATCGAAGAATCGCTACTAGGTTGGAGGCCATCGCTAGTAACAGTAGGTTGGAGGCCATTGCCACTCGGTTGGAGGCCATGCTACTAGGTTGGAGGCCATTGCTATTAGGTTGAAGTCTTCTTCGCCAATTCTGTCGTTCCCATTTCGTCGGGGTTGACCACTATCGACCACCATTGACCACGATGCCCAACCCTGTTTGTTGTTGCTTGGTCGCTCAGCGCAGAAGTCGTCCCAACAAATTCTGCGGAACCGCACAGCAAAGCTCCGATGGCGGAAGGAACTCGCATTCGAGGGCTCTTTTGAGCTTCTGTAGGGCGTTTTTAGGTCTTGGCTTTGAGGGTTGGGCAGTCCCATCCCATGAAATCTTCTGGCATGTTCTCAACGTTTCTTTCGAAGAGGCGGCAAGATTTCAACAACCACACAAAAGGCTATGCTCCCATGGTTGATGCTGCCATAATCCGATGAGGCATTACAACTGGCATTACATATTTAATCATATTTCACTTACCTTTCCCATGTTCCGTTGTTTCAGGATGACCATCCAGTGCTCTTCCCGCAACTCGACGTGTCGCGATCACTGAGAGAGCTGAGTGTTGAGAGCTGCAGCGGGACGGCTGTAGCGTTGAGGGACATCCAGGGACGGTTGTGTGGATGACTGGTGACAGGACACTGAGACTAAAGCGAGGAAGCCATCCCTACCATGCCGGTCTCCCTGGGTGCATGACAAAGACCATCCCTACATATCCCTACCATCCCTACATTCACATGGGTTGTTTCATTCATAGGGATAAAGGTTGCTCCATTCTACCCCAACCCTGCAACTGGAAACTGGAGAATTATGATGGGCAAAGCCAGGACCTTGACTGTGCTTGAAATGAACTAAAACTGCAAACAATAAAATGCTTTGAGGGATGGAAGCAGCCAATGCACCTTGGGTACCAAATGCGAATCAACGGTTGCCTTGGACATACTGCTGTAAATATGCTATAGATCAAGCCATTTACAAGTAAGTTGGTGAAACCCACTGGTGGAGGCGTGCCATACTTTGTCACGCAAGGTCATGATACCATCTCTGATGCCTCCCCCACAAAACAAGCGCAACCTGCACTGCCTGGCTCTTTTCCCGCGTGAATCTTTGCACTCGGATAGCCACAACCGGCATCAACCTATGTTGGAGAGTTGCAGGGCAAGCCTTGAAACCAACTGAAGGTCATCCCTTTGCTGTGCGTGTCATGGGCACAGTGGATGATCACGGATCACACGGATGATCTAGGTGAATGCAATGGGAAGCGATCTGTTCCAACTGAACACTAGTTGGGGTAAACCCGGGGCAAACTCCAGTTCTTTGCGTTGTTGTGTTGGATTTCTAGGCTGGCCAACAATCACCATGTCTTCCCCTTCCAAAGCAGGTTGAAACCATACTGCCAGTCTGTCTGCATCTCAGTCCAACTGCCAACAAGTAACAAGGGATCGATGATTTTAGGATCCGTTTTCACTGTTTACCTTCCGTAATTACTGATAAAGGAATACGACTTACTACGAGCCGGCTCCCATCTAGGGAGCTTCTACCAAGAGTGTTTGGACACCATCGTTTCACTCGAATCTGAGTAGAAGGACTCCGATTGTGTCAGGGAACAACCCCGACTTTGAAGTTGCCGCGAAAATTCAGAATACAACCCAACCCGACCACGTGCATAAAGAAGCATTCTTGGGTGAACACTACATGCCAGTGATCGTGTAAACTTGGATGACACGTTTTCTTTTTTGGTGTCGCTTCGGTGACCGCCTCGCTTGCCTCGCTAAATCCCCTAAAGCTTCCCCCTTTGCTGAGCTCTGCTCGGCTTTGCCGTCGGATCAAAGGAAGCGGGAGGGTCTCAGGTAGCTTCGCCGTCTTCGCACCCGAGGTGGGAGCCTCCGGAGCTGATTGCACAAGCGCAAACAAGTGGGCGACGAAGAAAACGCGCGATGGAACGGCAAAATGGGCCATGTGTAAAGGATATGTCATTGTTTAGAATTATTGTATGTTTCATATATAAACATATATAAACCTGTTTCATTCAAAGTTGGTGGGTGGGGGTGTGAATATGACACAAAACTTGAACAAAAGGGGTCAAAGTCATAGTCATAGTCCTTTAGAATGCTAGGGTCCACTGTGAGAATTGTGACCACGATGAGACTTACAGCAAATGACCAACTACTGTCCTAATTGTGTGTAATGTTGCTGTTTGGATCTTTTGAGACAGTCCAGTGACCAGTGCATGATTCTGTCTATTAGTGTATTAACAAATACTCTAACTGTAACTCCGTCCAGCAGGTTCAAGGCCATCTTCATCCAGGTTTGGCGTGTGCCATGTTCATACTATATACAAACAATTCATTGTTAAGACATACAACCCCCGCAAGGTTCTCGGCTCAAATACTCTGTCTGTGGCTTGCATGTCAGAAGGTGTTCATCTGAGTTCCTCCCTTTTCTGATCGTTACCGTGTCTTTGATCCCAGCTGCTGCCAAGTCACTGAACATGCGCTGAACGTGCCAAATCCACGACAGTCGCCTCACATGTTCCAGGGAAAAATGGGTGCACGGTAAAGAGTGCACGGCAAAGATTTTGTGGGAAAGCGCCCCCAGGTGCCAGGAACAAAAGGAACATTGTCTTATTAAAAAGGTTCATAAGGTTCACTAGCAGAGTAGCAAGTACAATGTTGAAATCATTAGGGCCTGTGTTTTATGTAATTGTCATTTGTTTTGGCTGGCATGAATTGGGGTCCTAAAAGAAACGCACAGTTTGAGGGAAGAACTGACTCTGACTGAAAGGCACAAACGCAAACACAAACACACATCTTTGATCTGTTTGAGCACTGTTGCAATCAAAGTACGGCCCAAACACTCAAGGACCTTCTGTTCCTCAGGGGTCGGACACTCATACAAATACAAAGTCCCGGTTTCGGTCGGTTCTTCGATTTGTCGGTCGCTTGGAGTGCCTAGGAGACCTCCAAACACAAAGCAGCTAAGCATAGGCTCTTGGAACATCTTGGACCAACATGTATTTCCGTATAAACATTCTAATATATTACATCAATACGCACCCAAAGCAACGTTCTGCAAGGGACTCCGGTGGATGCTAATACAAAATAGCGAGACAGGACGAGTCGGTGCTAGTTAGTTTTGATTGGAGAAAAGGCTTGAGGCTTACACTCCCGGTCTCCATAGTACCAGGGAAAACGCAGGCGCAAGCATTAAGCGCAGCAAGATTGTCACAAGATGTGGTGCAAAAGAGTTCTGACTCGACATGCAAAAGAAGCATCTCATTCAGACCTTCGGCAACTCAAACATACTCAAACTCCACAGCAGCAGCTTCTTCATCCCGAACAACACAAGCACCAGGGTCCCCACCAGGGCTGGTGGTATGCTCATCTCATCCTGAAAAGCTCGAACCCGAGGCTGTGAAGAGACAGGCTGGGACAAATTGGAGAGGCGCACCTCTCGTGACACCAACATCACTACTGTAGCTCAGTCAGTAGTCTGTGAATGCAAAGGTACACGATTCAAGAAACAAGGGGTCAAGGGATGTCAAGGGTGCATACTTGACCTAGGAAAAACCATCCGAGACACATGGACGAGAACAACACCATGCAATGTAACAAACAAAATGCAAACATCATTGCATCAACAATCCAACCAAACCAGTCTAGGATCAAGCAAAATAAGCGCCTCATACCGCATCCCTCATAAATGTCTTGGATACTTTTTCACACACACACACACACTCTAGTCCCTCTCTCTCTTCCTGGCTCCCTCTCTCCCTCACTCTCTCTCTCTCTCCAAATTGAGTTTCCGCGCAGGTCTCAAAGGTGGCTTCAAGAGCTCAATCGGAGGATACTCCTCAGCGTCGGTGGGTGCATCCTCCACGACGGCGCCGTCGTCGTTCACCACCACGAAGGGCAGCTTGCCTCGGAGCAGTGGACCAGGGATCGCATCGGAAAGTCGATGGGACCAGTGGAGGCTGCAAGACTCGTTGCTTTCTTCTGTTTGTTTGAAATAAAAGACTCTATATAGAAACCAGCACACCCCCTAACCTGAGCCTGAGGATACATGCTGGTCGCTGGGGTCGAATGGATCGTTGCGTTTGATGAAACATGAATCAACCTGGACCAGGAATTGAAAAATATGAACAAATAGAACACACACAGTGGCTTCATGGGAGAATGTCTGAGTTCCCTGTTTTTTCCTGCAAAAGCATGTAAAAGCCAACTCCGACTGCTCCGACTCCCCTCTTTGATTGCTCATAAAAGTCCATTCTGGAGCCATCCGACTCGTTCGTTGGACCGTTCCTCTTCAGAATGGCTCGTTCCGACTCGTTAACGTAGTAACAAGTGCAACACTACTATAGTAGCAAATAGCTACGTTCGTAGCTTCTTGCTACTATAGTAGTAATGCCCTTGTTACTAGTAGCGATGCACTGGTTACTAGTAGCAAACACTCAAACCCTGGCGCCAAAGTACATATGTATTTGCGCACGAATGGTATCCCTGGCACAGAATGGACTGTCAGTCAACCGCAGGTGTTCTCAACGGTTGAACGCGGAATGTCCATGATTGAATCCAAGGTACAATCCTCCTCGAACTTGAATCCAGATTGGATTGTCCCTGCAAGAGGGCGCGGATGGAACAAATCGGTGCAGGCGAGCAGTGCTAAGGCGATCCACAAAACAATATCACTGGGAGAAATACACCAAACTTGGAATGATCAAAGCTTGCATATCACATGGTGAAAGTGGAAGCTCTGGGCTGTAAAAGACGATGTTCCGATGTTCTGAAGGGTAAACGGCGGGGTGGTGAATTCCAGCAAACCATTGAACGTGCGCTGGAGCGCACATGGAGTGCAACATGGGCGGCGACCGGAAAAAAATCTTCGCTGACAAGTCATTGACCCGGCGGTGTCTCTGAGATCTACACATGTCCATGTCGCCTGTCATATGAGAAAACATGTCGCGCGTGCCTCCCGTGTTGAAGCCTTGGCAAGACAGGTGTGCGCGTTCGTTGCAAACAGCAGCCAGCCGCCCAAACTGAAGTTCTGACAAGAAATCCGATCTCAAATCCACTGACGAAGGCAGCTTGAAGCTAAGTGGTCAAGATAGGGATGCCAATCATTGATATGATCCAACGCAATGTCGTGCCTATTCTGAAACAAACTAAACACCCTGAGCCCTCAGCCATCGACATGCGAATCATTGGATGAGGTCTTCCACAACAGATTCTATATAATTGGACAAAGGAAACCATGAGGAATTTCAGAGCTTCCCTGGTGATCATTTGTAGCCAGCCAAATCTGCCCGACTGTCGTGATTGTCAAAGCAACATGCAGGAACAATTGCCTCTGACTGACATTGACTCGCTCATTCGATTCATTTCCGAAAATGTCCGTCTGTGTCACAAATCCAAACCTCAACCCTCTGAGAGATCGGCAACTCAGTGGAATGCAAGCCCAATTGTCGTGATGTCCCGGCTCACCTGAACGGCGGCCCTGGTTGACACTATTTTAACAAGGAACACGTGATCAAATTTAGCATCAAATCCCATGAACCTCTGAACATCAACGCCCATCATTCCGGAGTTGGTCCATGCATAGTCCATGCAAGGGCCCAACAAGAGGGTTGTCCCATCTCCTTTGGGTGGTGACAGTGGTTGTCTCTTCAGGAGTAGGAGTCTTGGTCTTCTTCATGTATTCTCCCTTCGAGCAATGCTTGCCAGTGCTCCCCCTGAGCGAGGCCATTTGCCTTGGTATAGACATATGTCTGTCGTCCTATAAGTTGAAAATGTTTTAAGGATAAACAAACGGAAACAACAACCTATAAGGGACAACCTGAAAAGGGGACAACAACTACGATACGAGCAAGACTAGCCCAACAAACGACAACAAACGCTTGCAGTTGTTTGGAGGCATCGTCTTTGTATTGTGGTGTGGTGTTCAATTTTTTTTGAATATATATCCAAAACAACCTGAGCTCCAACAATGGTCATGTTATGTGGTGTTCAATATTTTTCTCAGAATCCAGTATCCTCCAATTTTCCTCTCCATCTGGTCCTGAAACATGATCTGAGTTCCGGGACCATTGATCTGTAAGCGATTCACCTCGGTGGACTGACGCAGCCGAGAACGCCGGGGACTGACCCCTGCGGGTGGGATCTAAGAACGCATGGCGAAGACCCACTCTGCTTGTGTTGTAGGACCTCGACTCTCGGGTTGCACTCTGACAGTCAGAACTGATTTTCCTTTGGTTCCGGCAAAGGAACTCTCTTGTCAAGGACATGTTCTAAAACAACATTTGTTTTTGTTGCCTGCAAACATGTTCATTCTGCTTTGAGTGCTCCTAAACGTCAAAGCCACCAGTTGTGGGACATTTGGTTTGACCCAATTGCAGCCGCGGCCATCCTCAACAGGCTTCTCACCCAAGCGGCATTCCCATCAATATACCCACGTGAGATTCATCGACTGCGAACTTTGAGTTTCGCATGACCGGAACCCTCGCGATCCAAAGAATTGAGCCCAAAGACGCACTTCCAGTGGTAGCCATTGCGATCCACCGCAAAGGCGTAATCGCCTCCTTTGCCTCGCGAGCGCGAAGGGTCCAACTGTCGCAAAGGGGTTTGCGGAGATGGAGTGACCCTACCACCTGAAGCAACCAACCGTGAGTACGGATTTGCTTAAGGACCTCAGAATAACCTGAGAAGCTGCAAAACAAAGCCAGCGTTTTTTGTCCACGAGCACGTTGTGAAGAGAGATAGTAAAAGTGCAGCGGTAGCTACCCTGGTTCCGCTACCCTGGGTCCGCGCGCGCGCGCGCGCCTTGCTGGCTCCCGGTCTGCCCTAGATTTAGGCGCGCGGGCGCGGACCCAAGGCAGCTACAAGGCGGTTGCCAGGTGTAGCACTGCAATTTCCCTTTCCGTCAACCGCTATTGTGACAAACGTGCGGCAATCCACGTACCCAGGATAGCTACAATTCAGTTACCAGGTATAGCACTTCAAGTTCCTTTTCCGTCAACTGCTCGATAACATATAGAAACGTGCAGCAATCCGCAACTTTGAAGTCTCATTCGTGCTTTGAACTTATATAGGTGTGTAAGAGGTATAGCAAAATAGCATTTATACGGACCCAGGTAGCTACAAGCCAGTTGCCAGGTCTAGCACGTCATTTTCCCTTTCCGTCAACCGCTCGAATTCAGTTGCCAGGTATAGCACTTCAATTTCCCTTTCCGTCAACCGCTAGATAACCTGGAGAAACGTGCGGCAATCCACGGATTTGAAGTCTCATTAGTGCTTTGGATATGCATTCACAGCTGCACGAAGCTACAACACATCGGCCTCGGTAAAACTACACCTTACCATGCAGATGATGCAAATGAATAAACTTGCATTTCGTACATCACCAGCCGCTCAAAAATCACAAAAAATCATCTCCAACACAACCTCCAAAACCTTGCTTCCGTGCACCCCTAAACACCACCTAATTTCGAGTTTACGTGGTGGCCACCACCCCAGACCCCCTACTTACTTACTTCGTTCGCCAAACACAACTCAGCTGGCGCCTTCTACGAAGGCTAGCTTTCGTAATATAATCTCCAGAAGGGGATTCACCTATGGGCCATGGGAAACTAAGGCATCACCCCCAGCAAAACCTGGTGAGTCTAGCTAGTTGCAACGTTGTTAGGCAGCTTTTTCTTGAATTCTATTCTACTGATTTCTTCACAACCTTGTCGTTAAACCTGTTTGTTGATGGGTGTTGCCAATGCCAAATGGCAAGGTTGGTCCAGTGTGAGCCAATGCTCGTGAGACAATTCTCTTGCTTGGTATGCCCAAAGTTATATCCATATTTTGATATATCTAATTCTTTCAGTGTTGAATCTACAATCACCGCACTGGAGGTGCATGCCCTTGCAAAATCCTCTGAAACAGATGTTGGAACAGTTCCTGGGCGAGTTCCGGAGCCAAACTGGTGACCTAGTAGGACCGTCTCGGACCCGTTGCATCGCCCAGCAAGTCAGTCTCACAACGAAGCGAAGGAAACATGGTTCAAACAACAGCGACCTGGAAGGGGATCTTCTTTTCATTGGAAAAACACTCAAAAGGGGCCCTTCCAGGCATGTTTGAGGGTAGTATTTCTACCTGGGTGCACAAAATGGTGTTTTTCCGCGGCTGACAGAAAACCGCGGGACATGCACCTTCACTGGGCCAGATCCAAGCAACTCATCTGCTCCCGAGATATGCCGAGTAGCTATTGGCGACCTGTATGCGGCAATGAGCAGTGTGGCAAAGGTTCTCCTGCGTCGTCGCGTTGCGTGCGGGCGTGAAACGGGCGACGGAACGGGGATGTTCCCTGCAGGCGTGAAACGTGGGATCTGATAAAGCAGTACAACTTGAGCACATCGCCAACAAAGACTGTGTGGTAGTCGCGTAAAGTGGCTCAATATTGTTTGTTTTGTGGTACTTCTGGTTTTCCCGAGACAGCAGCTAACGCGTGAAGGAGACCCCATCTTGCTGAATCAACTGGCTCAGCGGCTTGGGCCTACATCTATTTATATATATATATTACCAACCCACCTGACCATGACGTCGCCGGAATTGTAACTCTGGTACATAGGGTCTGAGGATCTTTGTTTGTGCAGCTCAATTCCAGGACCTTCTATTATTTGAATGGCCTTTAAGGTGTGAGAAACCTTTGGTTTCCAAGGATCAGATGAGCCAAGCACTGCGAGTCTGTTTCCAAAGGGTTCGATTGGCTGGTGAATCGTCTTCCACTGATGTTATAAATGCTAGAAATACGACATGTTGGACTGACCCTGGGAGTTTGCTTGGATTAGCAAGGTTGCCCTTTGGTCATAGACGTGGACTGTGATTTGCTGCATACAGCAGTGCCTGGAACACAACCGTAGACCTCCCAGGACTGGACACAAACAAATAACAATCCAATCACACGCCAACTGCGCCACCTTCAACATCCTACCGGATCTTTTTGCCCCGGTTTCCCCATCCCGTCACTTCAGGCGTTGCGGCGTTGACCCTGACCTCCTTCATGATCATGGTGCTGACCCCCACGGGGAACAAGCCTCCGACGTGGACGACCGATTTGCGATCCCTACGACTGGGTACATCCACCGTCCGACGGTTCGTGGTGCTCAGTGTCATGACAACCTGGTCACCTGTGACGCGAAGTAGGTCTGACCCAGTCGCTCCAATCGACCGAAGCCACGGCGGTCAAAGGAAAGGTCGACCCTGTGAACAGCACAGGCCCCTGTGATGACGAACACGGAGATCAAGCAGTAGAACTCTTTGTGTCCCCACTTACCCCTTCAAGTCTTTCTTAGGGATGAAACCATGCAGGAGGGCCGGGCCCTGGAGCCTTCGTGGGCTGAATCCTTAGACGATGGGAGACCAGTTCGCTTGGAATTGGAAGACATCTCTTAAACATGTTGTTTTTACACACACACACACACACTTTTGGCTTTGTTGGCTCCAACTACCCTCTCGGATGGTCTCCATCAGAACCTCTACTCCATCTTCTACCCAGGTACTTCCTCAGGTCACCGTTGTCATTGGGAACATCAACTGAAGCAAATTCAACCAGTGAGAGCCAAAGAGAGAAATAAGAAAGATAAAGAGAGAGAGAGAGAGCGCGCGAGAGAGAGAGGGAGTGAGGGAGCAAGGGGGAGAGATTGAACACGATGTTTCAATGCTTGTTGATGCTAAAGTTTGGCTCGCTCCACAAACCACACATCATGGGCCACTCTGTATTGCTCCCTCTCCACACTACCGTCCCTCTACTGCGCCCACCAATGGGCCTTTTGGATCGGGCTCTGGCACATCATCCGGCACAGTGTCCTGGCCGTTGTAGGCCACGAAATGGTGGGGATGCGGAGGTGCTTCGAAAACGGGGTGGGAACGAAGTATCCAACGAGCTGAATGGCCCACCAATCATTTGTGGCCATGGATTGGAGTTTGGTAGTTCTTTTGTGCAAACATGTGCAAACCTATCCCACAGCTCCAGATACAGTCTGGCGTGCATCTGTGGCTGTCGGTACAGCAAAGCCAGGTGCTCCAAAGGATGGCAAAAAAGACATAGAACGACAGAAACACACCTTTCACCAAGGGATGTTTACTGAACATGGTATTGGTTGTAGAGTGACATCAAACTAGTTCTGCTTATATATATATATAAAGTTAATTGTATGAACATCATTAAGTTGCAGCTTTTGAGATCTACACCTGGAAAGAGGAAGGCCTCTAAATCTGCTACAAGTAGAATGTAGTGTTATCAGCCACTAATGAACGGCATTTGTTGGCATGGATCTTCTTTCCTCCTGTCAACCTTCTGGACAGGCTTGCGAAACTTCTTGGTCATTCTGCATTGCAGCTCCTTTCCGTCAGGCAAACTGGTCGTCCTATTCACACATATCTGTGCTATGTGTTCTCCAAAAGGGAGCAACCTTCCCAGCAAATGGATCGGTGCCAATTGAGCTTCTCCAAGAAAGAACTGTTTTGCAGGAATCTCCACTCACTACATACATGCCTGCACAGAAGTTGTTTGTGTTTCAAGTCGAGTTAAAGACCTGAAAGTCCACACCACTTCACTGCGAACCCTGCCCTTGACAAACGCTCTTCTATGTGTTCCCCTGCAAGTTGAATACAAAGTCCCGGGATCAAAACAAAAGAACAGAACATCATCCAGGTTGCCCTCTTTGTTGTTTTTCCGAGCTCCAACAGGGACTTCGCCTCCATAGACCCGTGCCTCGTAGGTGGTGATCACCTGGTCAGTGAAGTACTGCGAGGCCTTCCTGCGCTCATTGGAAAACGAGGAAGCAGTGAGGCGATGATCTGGATAGACTTCGCCAAAAGCATGCTAGTAGAGTCGAGTCGAGCTTTTGGAGTGCAAGATCCTGGCAACTTTTGTAGTCTCCTATGAGAGGAGTTTGGAGTTGGGGAGTGAAAAGTTTGGATTCTGACAACCCACTTAAAATGATCCCCAAGTAGAGAACAACATAAACAGGCAAGTGCAGTGCTTTCTGAGGATCCAAGTGGCGAAGGGGAGGACAATCATGGAATTTGTGACACAATATTCATTATGGAGAAAAAACAGCCCCATCCAACCAAAAGAAATGCACAAAGTCTCGCCATCCGTCTTGCCGAGCCACACAAAGTCGCGCCAAAGATCGCTGGCCGTGGACTGGATGCTGTTGGGATCCACGCTGGAAATTCCATTGGCGATGTCTGGGCAGGTGGTATGTTTCTTGCGATCCCGGCGATGAGAAAAATAACACATCAACAAAAGCGCTCGAAGCGAACCTTTTGCGGCAAGCTTGTGCGGTTCAAAATACTTAATTAAGTTAAGAATGCAAGTGAACAAGAGAGGGGGAACATGTCAATTGGTTGAGCAAAATGACCAGTCGGGGTGGGGTGGTGGGGTGTCGACGTACCATGAGTCATGAGTCCAGGAGTACCATGATGTCCAGTAGGTCGGATAGTCTACCAACAAGCTATGCAACAAAGCACAGATTACGGTAGAAGAGGTCATGGTAAATCTAGCTGTCTTCGGTTAGTTTCGGTTGAATTGCTTGGTCTTGGAACATGTCTTGAAGCAACCAGAACTAAACGACTCTTACGCTGACACGGACCTGGCTCAGACCAAGGGACTCAGCTCAAGACCGGTCGCAAGTTAAGAAGACAATGGACATACATAAACAAACACATCTTAAAGCACACAGGTTCGCCAAAAGGTGACCTGTACCTATTGTTCGGAACAACTGGTCTGGTGCACCTGATCTTCTTCTCCTGTCTTGGATCTGCAGATTTCACACAAAGCACCTGGTGGGACCGACTGAAGCACCCAAAGCCCAGCGGCTTTCAGGATCCATATTCGATGCCACGCCTTGGGGGTGGCAAAAGACACCAGCTTGGCAGAAAAGAGTGCTTCCTCATTTTTGTGGAAGGACTACAGGCTTCATCCTAGAACTTCTTGAGGATTGAACCGGCAACACTGCATTCTATCATCTCTAATTATCCACAGATCTCCTCAAGATTGACATGAATTTAACGGTAGCACCCACCCACAAACATCTAGATGAGAATCCATGTACATCTTGATTACCATATCAATAAGAACTGATTAAACCATAGTTCTGCTAATAGTCTTTGGAAACGGTGGTTGCAAGCTATTGCAAGCTAATCTTGGATATATAATCCAAAACTACTCAACATGTCTGCGGTTGAACCCAAAAAAGCTCCAGATCCGGGTCTTATTACAGGAAGATCCGGGTATTATTACAGAGCGGTAATCTGATCAAGTGGGCGTATGTTTTAGCCACCTCCGGATCAACCAGTTTGACTGTCAGCCAAGCAGCTACTGGGATCGATGCCATTGGAAGCCATCGCACGTCCTTGGAGCCGTGCACGGAAGGCGGCTCGGAGCACTGCCATCGGAATCCATCGGACATCTCAAGCTGGGAAGCTTCTGTCTCCGACCCAGCTGTCAATGTTCTTGATTAATTAGGAAGATGTGATTTGGTGAGACCTTGAAGACAAACCTGGCTGGAGAATAGGAAAAGACCTTGAAGATGCAAGAAGCAAGGGAGGAGAGAAGACACCCTTATCATTCATATTTTGTCGCCGGGCTGAGGCTCAATTCTTTGCCCATCATGCAGTCCCACCGAGGTTCAAGTCTGATTACATAAATTGAACTAATGATGCAAATGTTCCACCACGAACTGCGCTAAACCTCTCGAACGAGGATGCCAAGAACAAAGGACAAGTTGTAAACCTCTGTATATCTCTTCATAATGAGGAGACACTCTGGGGTGTCCATCATCCACCCCTTAGTCTTCGCAGGTATTGAAATGATCACAAGGTATTGGACCAGCGCAAAGGGAACCAGGATGAACCCGAAATGAGTTCGTTCCAAAAAGCCCGGCAACTGCTCCCAAATAAGTCTTCTGGGATTGGTAGGGCTGTGCACTGGGATTGCCTAGATCAATCCATTTCACCAAAGAAACTGCCAATTCCATCAACCAGGCAACCCGCAACCATGGAACATGTGCAACCCGCCACGAACGTCGGAAGTGTAGCCGTATATCTCGTGGAACTGCACGGTCGTTCCTCTGCAGCCCAAGGAACTGGCCTTCCTCTGCGACTCAAGGCTCAAGATACTAACCCCATACAACGACCAATGCCGAGCCGTGCACTCCAGAGCGCCGAATTAGGCGAGGCTTCTGAGCAGCTTGTTTGGGGTGTTTCCTTTGCTCCATCTGAACTCAGCAACATGTTCTGAACGGTGGCAAAAACACTACAATCATACATATGGAAAAAGAACCAACTCGCTTGAGCTCGATTGATCCGATCGATGTTTAAACGCCTCTTTTTCGGTCGATGCGAGCGCGCTTTCCCGTCGTGTGTTTTTGGTCACGATCGAAAGCTGCCCCATGGAGTCACACCATGTGGTCATCGATGTCGCTTCAAAGTCTAGTTTCAGTTGCTTGGGATGAGAGCTGTTGAATATGGGTTCTTGCTCACAGTGGCCGAGCATGGCGCCGAAAAGATCGGTCCTTGAGCCAAGTGTTTTCTGACCTTGAGCCAAATGCCGGCACTTTCTGAGTCTAAACAACGCCACAACACTCAGTTGCGAGAAGGCCCGACAAAACAACAACTAGTTGGGAGTGATCCCCAGAGTGAAAACGCGATTCGGAAGCAGGCAGGGCACATTGTTGACAGACTGTCCTGATTGGGAATCTCCGGTACCAGTCTATCGCCCACCACTGTGCCAACCGAACCAATGAGCGAAACACGCGCCGCACCACTCTGCCGCCCGCAACGATGAAAGTCCAAATGAGGAAGCGGCGGAGTGGAAGGCAGGAGGAAAGGAAGAAGGAGGGGGAACCTGATGTAAAATCTAGAGACTCTCACCTGACAGGTGGGGGGAAGGAAGGACAAATAACTAATAACAATTTGACATGCTTTTGTGTTTAGCTTTAACAGAGTTAAAACAGCACCATACAGCGCAGCATTGTTCGTGCGTTGTTCGTCTCACATCAGTCTGGTCCGTCGCTCTGGTTCTGGCTGACGACCGTTCCCACGGACGCTCTCCGAAAGGCAAGGACGAGCAAGAACAAGGCAGTTGCGCCATGTCTTGTGGCTACACAGTACTTGTGGTTGTGCTGCCAATGTTGAGGCTGATGAACCATTTATTCCAGCAAGCAAATGATGGTGAGAAATGAATGATAGGGGTTTCTTTCACTAGAAATGGTCATCAGCTTGTCCCATTTCAGCTCTTTTGAATAGCCATAGCTCAGGACTTGTGACGAGTGGATCAAGGAAAACGAGGGCAGCCCTGTGACTCTCTCGGTGTGTTTGGACCGAAAAACCCGGGTTGACCAGAACACCTATAGTGCAGTGCTGTATTTTGATTAATTGCCTTAATATCTTCCAAAATACAGCACTACACTCTAAACTTAACCCACACCATCCCACGGTGTGATGACCCACAGTGGGAATAAAAAAACACAGTGAGACGTTGGTACGACGCGGAAATCATGGACGGCGCGGCGTCTCTGAAAAGGCACCCAAACCACACAAACCTCGGTACAATAACGGGCAGAACCAATCAGTATGCCGCAAGGGTTGTATACAAGTACACTCCGAGTCACTAAGATGGATGAGTATATGGATGTGGAAAAAACTACCTGATGGGTAGACTTGCAAAGGAAAATGGTCCTCCAAGAAGCCATGTTCCACTTCCATGATTATTTCAGGGAGTGTATTGTATATATATATATATACAGTAATTCTGTATGTTCACATCGTCTTTGCACCTGCAGGGGCGATTGTCACCATCTTCCAAGGTGAAGGGACCCCAAATGACCACCTGCTCAATACCAGGTCGCGGGTCACCAACAAAGGCCAGTCCTGGAAGCTAACCAATGCTCTTGGTGTTCAGACTTACAGCGGTTTCAGAGTAGATGGCACTGGCACCCAAAGATGTCATCTGTTAAATATGGGTTTTCCATATATCATATAAGCCCGCGGTTTGGGGATTGTGCCATCTACTCTGAAACCACTGTAATGGATGTTGTGCAAAGGAAACTTCCCAACACCTAAAATCATTGGCGAAGAGGTCCAATGGGTTTAACGGACGCCTCCTCATCGCTCCGACTCGACTCCGACTCGACTCGCTTCCGCTCCCCCACCTGGTGAGACCTGGAGAGGGAGAGCTCATCGCTCGCTCGCATGGTTCGAAGGTTTCACACTGTGATCTTCTGGTTGGTGTTTTCAATCCACTTAAAAACTATATAGTCAGAGGGTCCAATCATCCCCAAGTAAGGGGTGAAACCATCACCTAGTCTTGTTTTTGTTCCATGATAGAGTGAACATGCCCCGTGATGGACTGAGATAAATGATGACAAATAAAACATGTGTTGCACCTACATCTGGGACCTCTGCCACATAGTTTTGCACCTAACATGAAAAACCAAGCGTTCCTCCTTGCCCATGAAACTGGGGAAAAACCCTGTGTTCAGGAAGCTGTCTGCTACCCACTAGTTGTAGATCCACATTCTTATTCCACTGGGCGCTCGGAACTCAATTAGACTCTCAGAACCCATTACTCATTAGACTCCCACTAAGTCACTAAGCCGTGACAGGCTTGGACTTGGTCGCAGTGGTTTGCTTTGAACAAGAAAGGAAAGGCAAACCTAAAATGTGGGGATCAGCTGAACTACCAGGGCCAATGCTTGCTTCGTGAAGCTTCGGAGGTGAAAGGGAACATTCTGGGCAGCCCTGCACACACACGCAGACCGAAAGCTCGAAGAAGACTTAGCCGACTCTGTCCAAACATCGCTGCCGACCTGGTCTTTCTGACGCCATCGAATCGTACATCTTATAGCTCCACCAATGCGTTTGCAATGGTCACCAGTTCTCACTGGTTGAGGTCCGGTTCATCGGTCCTGGGTGTCACAACGAACAGATCGGTCCTGGGTGTCACAAATGGACAAGGGATGAAAACCGCGGGGGGGGCGGCCGGGGAGGTTTTTTTGTTACTAACACCCAGCCCACATGCCAGTCGCTTCGTACTCTTGGCCTAGTCGCTGCAGCTCCACTCTAAAATCAAAAGCCACGTCGCCTCCTCAACTACCTCCAACAAGGCACACTGTCGACAGGTGTTCCGAGACTTCCAGGTCCATAAGAGAGCCACAAAAACATGATCAAACAATCGATCACATGGCTGAAGTCATGTTATACAAGATTATTATCATAGATGATCCTTATGTTCAAGTAATGAGAACTTGTGGGCTGGAAGTATTGGACATCAGTAGCAAAAGGACCCGTGAAGTTAGAGCAATCGACTGGCCAACGACCAATCGCTGGCCATTGACCGGGTCATCCCCAGCCCTATAAGAATGAAACCGCGATGGGCGAGGATATCCCTTTAAAATCCGGAGGGCAGGAGAGAAGAGCGCGGCCGCAAAATGGCATTACAGGAGCTTCGAGCATGAAGCAACGACGAATTAGTGGCATTTGACCCCACAGTCATGGGGAATCTTCTGCCAGGCTAGCAAAACACCTACGAGGCATGTGAAAATCTTCAGCGACCCTGTGACCAAAAAGAGCAAGATTTGTAGCCATGTCTTCAAGAGCTGGCTCGTGAAAGCATCTCAAAATTCAGTCATAGAGTCATACGGAATAGTACGGATCATGATGCACCAATACCTACCTCTTTATGGATCCAAGGCAGGACTCTAGTAGTTCAGTGACATTCCCCCAATCCAAGCCAATAGATAACGCAGTGCAATTCGTAGAAATTGGTTGATCCACTCGTGCTTTGAAACATAGCCACGAAATAAGGGAGGCAATGCTGGTGAAGTATTGTGTCTTCCCATGGATTGAAATGGCGGCAACTGTGGAACAACGCCTCCATACAGGTCCATACATCCTTTGTATACTGAGTCCGTGCTGTGCACGTCGTTTTTTGGTGGAGTAGCACATAGTAGATTGGTAGGGAAAACATGCTGCGGGAGAGGCAACCAGGGATTTGTCATAGCGCCAAACAATATAGCATCAAACAAAAGGCTCGGTCAGTTTCCCTAGTTGCTATGAACCTGTGGCGCCAGCGATCCCACAGGCGTTTGAGAAAGGATTGTCGACAACATTTACATAAATTCCAGCAAACACATTTCTTCAGACGCACAAGATCGATACAACTCCTCCTAGCTCACCTCCCAGCAAACATAAATTACCGCATGTCTTCCAAATCCCAACTTAACTACGGTATTGGAATGTATTAGACATGAATTGAATGACCAACTGAACTGAACTGAACACTCTCAACAAGCCCTGAACCAACTGAGTGTGACTGAACCAGCTGAAAAAGTACGGGCGAAGCAGCAAAGCTGTTAGTTTTACTGGAACTGCTCGAAAATTGTTATTATATAGGGTCTTTTTCGACAGATCTATCTGTCGCTCGCAGGTTAGAAGCCACGAGAAGCAAGATTGGAGCCCATCAGTACCATTCAGTATACCTAATATTCTTCTCCAAATAAGACCTAGCTGCTGGCACGGAACGTCCGGTCTGCCAGCATGTCGGGACTTGTCACATGGGTCACTCTGCCAATTCCGGGAACCTGCCCTGAGATGCCATTGACCCTCCGTCGGGTTTGGGCTCTCCAAACCCAACGATGGCTTGACGGCCCAAAAAGAAAAATCAATGACCTCCAAGTCTCTGGTCAGCACAAGACCCCAAAATGACTTGGTGTCAACATGACCAATGGTACTCATGGAAAGACATACATGGCCTGAAAAAGGCTGTGGGGAAGGGGGCCTCCACCTTGATCAAGTTCTTCTCAGGGTGAGGGAAAATCTGGTTTCACGGAAAGACGATCGGCTCATTCGGAGAGCGGATCACCTGGGCATTCGGATCATTCGTCGCGACGGAAAGTGGCTTGGGCTGGGAAAGCCAGCAGAAAGGCAATGGGCGGGGTTCTCAAGTAGATAGAGTATACTTATATATATATAATTGGTTTTAAATGTTTGTATTCCCAACGCACACAAAGCAGATATGTTTTGCTTTTGCGTGATTGAGTCTGGCTATTATAACGAGTCCCTGATACAGGACATCAGGGAGTCCTCGGAGTAGAATTCGTGGATCCACGGTCGGAGAGGTCATGAAACGGCAAACAAGAACCACCTTTCGCCGCGAGGACAGTAGGACAGTGTTGCTGAGTTCATCAAGAAGCAAGACT